CAACTCCGACATGTACCGACGCTCACCCGGACACCGCGCCAGCGAAGAAATCTGGCATGCACGGATGGGACACCCAAGCAACACAACGTTAAACAACACGATAAGAGCAGGAGTGCTCGAAAAAGATTCGCTCCTACTACATGACGGGAGAGAACTCCAACGAGAAAAAGGAACGTGCTTCACATGCCCTGAAGCCGACTTACCGCATCAGCCGTTTGTCCCTCACGACAACCCGAGTGCACCAGCATACGCACCGCTTGAAAAGGTGTACAGCGACATCCTGTACAATCGCGTACCAGGACAAGGAGCTTACAACTACACCATCACCTTCATCGACGCCGCCACCCGATACGTTTGGCACCTGAACCTTCCGAGTCGCGACATGGCTTTCGAAGCCTTCGTCGCCTGGCTTCCAGCAGCAGAACGAGAGTCCGGAGTAAAGCTAAAGAGTTTTCAGTCAGATGGAGGCGGAGAATACACCTCACAACGCTTCAAGGACTACCTGGCAGAGAAGGGAATCAAGAGGCTCATCTCCCTTCCTTACGCCCATCAACAACACGGTGTAGCATGAAGAATGAACAGGACCCTTCAGAACACCATGCGCAAACTGTTACGTGGCATGCGGCTACCCAACCACCAGTGGCCTGAGGCAATGGACCACGCCGTGATGCTGCACAACTTGCTTTCGTCATCATCGCTTCCGAACAACGCATCACCGCATCTGATGTGGACAGGAAAATTGGGCAGCACAAAAAATATTACGAGTCTTCGGCTGCATGGTACAGTACCGACCCCCATCTGCACGAGCCGGCCGATTCTCCCAACACGCACAGTGGGGACTACACCTGGGCATCGAAAAGAATAACAACGCATGGAAGATTTTTTACGTCCACACCAAGGAAACAATGGCAGCACGTGATGTGATTTTCTACGAACGACTCACTCTCGACTCCTACCTAGCCAACGTGGAAGAACAACGCGACCTCACCAGTGGACTTCGTGGAGACCGAGCCTTCGCTTCCGCAGCGGACGAAGCTGACTGGGACGAGCAGAACGTGGACGCAGCCTCGGAGGAAGCCGGACCTCTCCCGTACTGCTCCGTCGATGTTCCAATGGATGACGAAAACCCTCGCGAAAGCGTCAACGCCGAAGTATTTTACCACTTCGCTGACAACGGTTACATTACACGTGCAGAAGTCAACACCAACGAAGCAGAACGCATAGGGCCCAACTTCATACCTGACCCAGAAGCAGGTGACGAAGCAGCTTATCCCGCGGATACCACACTCCCCCGCTACACACAGAGTGGCCTCCAGATACTTGGCCTCGTCACCGCGGTCCACGGCACTATGATTCCTAAGGAGCCTGCGACAGTTCAGCAGGCTCTGGGGGGGGAGCACAGGGAAAAGTGGCGCGAAGCCATGGACAAGGAATTGAAGGCACTAGAGGAGCGCAACACCTGGAAATTTGTTCCTATCGGAGTGGCACGAAACAAGACTATACTTACCGGGAAGTGGGTCTTCCGAGTGAAAACAAAAGCAGACGGCACCATCGACAAATTCAAAGCACGCTGGGCTGTACGTGGCTTCGACCAGGAACACGGACGCGACTTCACCGAGACATTCGCCCCGGTCAGCCGACACACCTCACTTCGAATCCTTCTCGCGATCGCCGCCATGAAGAAAAAGAAGTTGCGGCAAATCGACGTCGCAAATGCATTTCTCTACGCACCTGTTGACGTTGAGATCTTCGTCGAGCTCCCGCACGGCTCCAACGGAGAACCCAACCAAGTCTGTCAACTGCTGAAGTCGCTCTACGGCATCAAACAAGCTCCGAGGCTGTGGCAACAGTACCTGCACGCAAGACTTATCAGCATAGGATTTCGCCAGCTACCTCACGACCAGGGAATGTACCGGCTGACAAAAGGCACCGACTACATCCTACTAATCGTCTACGTAGACGATCTGCTCTACATCGGGTCGACCGACGGCGTCACTACCTGGTTCGAAGGGGAGCTGCAGAAAGACCTCACGCTCACAGTCTCGTCCACCGTCACACAATACCTCGGCCTCAACATTCACGAAGAAGAAAACGCAATCTACCTCAGCGCCGCAAAATACGCTGACACCATCGCCAAACGCTTCGCACTCACGCCGACCACTATCTCCACGCCATACCGCTACACGGCAGGAAACAACAAGGAAGGATCTGCTCCACTAAAGCCCGTTGGCATACGCGACTACCAGAGAAAATTGGGATGCCTTCTCTTCGCAGCTGTCACCTGCCGACCGGACCTATCGTACTCCGCAAGTCAACTCGCGACCTACCTCAAGAAACCTGAAGCAGAACACATGGCGAAGCTCAACCACGCTCTTCACTACCTCGTTAGCACTCCGACGATCAGCCTGACTTATCATAAGAACGGGACCTCGACACCTAAGTTAATCGGCTACGTCGACGCAGATCCCGCCGGCGACTCCGACAACAGGCGCTCGCGCACCGGCTACATCTACCACCTTGAACCTATCGGGCCCATCTCTTGGCAGTCAAGCAAGCAGGAATTAATCGCCCTCTCCTCAGCTGAAGCAGAATATATCACACTTTGCTCAGCCACAAAGGAACGACTGTACCTTCGCGAACTTCTCGAGGAGGCGAAACTGGCTCAGTTACCTAGCTTCTCCTTGTTCTACGACAACTAGTCGACAATTCGCATAGCCAACAAAAATGGTTTCACGAACAGGACGAAGCACATCGCCCTACGATATCTCTTCGTGAAGGACGAGATTGAGAAGGGGAGACTCGAGCTGTCATATTGCCCCACATCCGAGATGGCAGCTGACTACCTGACTAAGAAGCTCGGAAAGCAGAAGTTCGAGTACTGCATGCTGCTGACTGGACAGAGCCACGTCACCGGCAGCGACACTCCAGAAGCGAAGGGGAGTGTTGGAAACAATTAATTCTAAGCGCCTCTGTCGTGTCGAAGCACTAAGTCGTAAACGAAGCGAAACACAAGTGAAGCATCGGCGAGTCAACCCTCGGAGGTTGAGCAACTGCTGGAGGTTACGCGAAAGTCAAAGGTCAGCGACCTTTGACCTGACAAGTACAGCGCGACAGCAAGGACACACAACTGACTTGCTACAGAGCAGTTGCCCGAGTCGTCACTGTATCGAACCGCAACAGCAACAGTGAAGTAGTTGCAACCGTATCTCTTCGTATTCCTTGTACTCTTATATAATCTTGTATCTCTTTGCTTTAATCAATTCACCTTGCCCTCACATACCAGCGCAAGGTGATTCAACTACTCCATTAAACGCTTCCGCTAATTACAACAAGTCCTACCCAGAGTTCAGCCCTGCAAAGATCCTAAGGGCTTTTCTCAGCCCAGCAGAAAGAACTGTGTGACGGAACATGGGGGAGGTGGTGTGAGGTGCCAAGCGAACAACTGCAGGGGAACACAAGCAAGCGCACATGATGAAAGCATGGGGAGACAGTGATGGGTGCACATGCATGGGAACTAGAGGGCGAAAGGTGAGGGGGAAGGGTGTCAGAATGAGAAGGATTGCAAATGAAGAATGACGAAAGAGGGGTTTCACTAGCAGCAGTTGGGTTACATGTAGCAAACCCTAACTGGGTTGTACTTGCTATAGAGCACCCCACTACAGGCTAGATAATAACATTCTGACACACCCCCATAGCCAAAGTGGGGTGTAATCAGCACAATCAGCAGGCATAGTAATAGTTCACAATTATAAGCAAAGCTAGAGGCAATCACAGAGGGCAAGTGAGGAGGAGGAATTGTGAAGGGAGAGAAGATGGGAGACGACGGCTGAAGCTGCAGACACACGGGCAACAGGAGGACTGGCACAGTGGCTACCGAGCGCACGAGGGCACCGGACTACAGGAGTATCTGGCTCCGCGGCTACGACGAGCGGCAGGAGCAACGGACCTTCAGGCGACTGGCACAGCAAGGCTCTCTGGGCTACCGAGAGCGCGACGGCTCCGGACTACAGGCGCTGCGCACGACACGACGGCGGCCTCCTCTTAGCCTCCCCAAACAGTCCCATCTCCTTTCCACACACCCCCTACTACACCCCTAGCTCCACTCCCACGTCACCCCCACAACTCCACTCCCCGCGGCTCCCACACCTCCACCCCCCTTAGCAGTAGCTACAGCAGCGGGAGACGAACAAGGAGGAGGGGAACACCCACACCGCGCACCCCCATGCTTGCTACCCCACACCCCCCACCACCGCGGAATGCACGGCGGCACGGGAGGAATGGGCAGCACGGGGGGGGGGGGGGGGGGGAGGGGGGGGGGGGGGGGGGGCGCGCGCTCCTCCTCAGGGCGCCGAAACGGACGGGCAGGGGGGCGCGCGCGGTTCCCCAGGGCGCCGCGACAGACGGGCGGGAGGCGCGCGCGGCTCCCCAGGGCGTCGCGACGGACTGGCGGAGGCCGCGCGCGACTCCTTAGGGCGTCGCGACGGACGGGCGGGGGGCGCACGCAGCTCCCCAGGGCGCCGCGATGGACGGGAGGGGGCCGCACCCTACTCCCCAGGGCGCCGCGACGGACGGGCAGGGGGCGCACGCTCCTCCCCAGGGCGCGGCGACGGACGGGAGGAGGGACGCGCGCGGCCTGCAGGGCGACGCGACAAGACGGGCGGGGGCTGTGCGCGGGTCCACACAGCAGAAAACCGCCGCGCGCCCCGAGCGCACGGCGGGATGAAGAAACCCTAAAAATTTTCGCCGCCCCGAGCGCACGGCGGTAGGAAGGAGATGTCGCGCGCCCGAGGCGCGCGAGAAGTAGAACAGCAGCGGAAGCAGTTAGGTGGCGGGCCCACCCGCAGGATCGACCGAAGGGGGTCGACCTGCTCTGATACCATGTCAGAATGAGAAGGATTGCAAAAGAAGAATGACGAAAGAGGGGTTTCACTAGCAGTAGTTGGGGTACATATAGCAAACCCTAACTGGGTTGTACTCACTATAGAGCACCCCACTACACGCTAGATAATAACATTCTGACAAAGGGGAGGGCATGACATGAAAGGGAAGGGTTGAGAAGGGATGGAGAAGGGAAGGGTAGGGCAGGGAGGGAAAGGCAGGGATATGGAGGGCAGGTGGGAACAGGGGAGAGGGTGAGGGGAAGGAGGGCTGAGGGTGGTGGGAAGGAGAGTGCGAGTGCGAGAGGACGGAGAGAGAGAGGGAGTGCGAGATGACTGAGAGAGTGAATGTGGGAGGAAGGAGAATGAGAGTGATGGGAGGCAGCAGGGAAGGGGATGGGGGGAAGCAGGGAAGGGGATGGGGGGAAGCAGGGAAGGGGATGGGGGAAAGCAGGGCAGGGGATGGGGGGAAGCAGGGAAGGGGATGGGGGGAATCAAGGTAGGGGATGACGGGAAGCAGGGAAGGGGATGGGGGGAAGCAGGGAAGGGGATGGGAGGAAGCAGGGAAGGGGATGGGGGGAAAGCAGGGAAGGGGATGGGGGGAATCAGGGAAGGAGATGGGGGGAAGCAGGGAAGGGGATGAGGGGAAGCAGGGCAGGGGATGTGGGAAAGCATGGAAGGGGATGGGGGGAAGCAGGGAAGGGGATGGGAGGAAGAAGGGGAGGGGGATGGGGGGAAGCAAGGAAGGGGATGAGGGGAAGCAGGGTGGGGGATGGGGGGAAGTAGGGTAGGGGATGGGGGAAAGCAGGGAAGGGGATGGGGGGAAGCAGGGAAGGGGATGGGGGAAAGCAGGGCAGGGGATGGGCGGAAGCAGGGCAGGGGATGAGGGGAAGAGGGAAGGGGATGGGGGGAAGCAGGGAAGGGGATGAGGGGAAGAGGGAAGGGGATGGGGAGAAGCAGGGCAGGGGATGGGGGAAAGCAAGAGGAGGGATGGGCGGAAGCAGGGAAGGGGATGGGGGGAAGCAGGGCAGGGGATACGGGGTAAGAGGGGATAGGATGGGGGGAACCACGGCAGGGGATACGGGGAAACAGGGAAGAGGATGGGGGAAACGGGGGCAGATGCCGGGGAGAGAGCTGGGGGGAGGATGGTGGGGAGTAGAGAGGGGATCTGTTCCTCCCCATCTGTTCCTCCCCATCTGTTCCTCCCCATCTGTTCCTCCCCATCTGTTCCTCCCATCTGTTCCTCCCCATCTGTTCCTCCCCCATCTGTTCCTCCCCATTTGTTCCTCCCCATCTGTTCCTCCCCATCTGTTCCTCCCCGTCTGTTCCTCCCCATCTGTTCCTCCCCATCTGTTCCTCCCCATCTGTTCCTCCCCATCTGTTCCTCCCCATCTGTTCCTCCCCATCTGTTCCTTCCCATCTGTTCCTCCCCATCTGTTCCTCCCCATATGTTCCTCCCCATCTGTTCCTCCCCATCTGTTCCTCCCCATTTGTTCCTCCCCATTTGTTCCTCCCCCTCTGTTCCACCCCTTTGGAAGGAATGAGGAAGGTAGGACGGGCTGGAGATGGTGAGATGGGGAGAGGGGAAGAGCGGATGGAAACGCGGATGACGAGGGGAAGCGCGAGTGACTGGGAGGCAAGCTCGACGACGGGACGCGCGGGCGACGAGGGGAGGCAAGGGCGGCGAGGGTCGGCAAGGGTGATGAGGGGAAGCGCGAGCGACGAGAGGGAATGTGGGTGACTAAGAGAGGTGAGGGCGGCGAGGATCGGTGCGGGTTGACGAGGGTGATGAGGTAAGCGCGGGTGACGATCTGAAGCGCGGTATGTTTACGAACAGCGATTGCGACGAGGGGATGTGTGGTTAACGTGGGAACGCACGGGCGACTAGGGGAACATATGCGACTAGAGGGTCGGTGAGGGTGATGAGGGAAAGTGAGGGTGATGAGGAAAGCGGTCTGACGTGGGAAAGAGCGGCCGACGAGGAGGAACATGTGCGACTAACGACTGAGTGCGTCACGCGAACCAGTACGGCATTCGCGTGAGCGACCCGTGCCTAAAACGGTACGATCGTGACACGAAGCTTAACCGCAGCAAGTGTGACAAGAGACTGCGTGTGCGACGCGAGCTTGAATGCAAGACGCGAGTAACGCGAATCTCGTTTACTACCGTAAGTGCCGTGGGTGTACGGGTTGTAACACGAGACCGGTGACGTTAGGGAGAGATCGGAGCGTGCACTGACTAAGATGGTTGAGGTGGACTTATATTTCTTTCCGCACAAAAAAAAAGCCTATCAACAACTCGCTTTTGCCAACTAGCGCTAGTTTTTGCCTTGGAGCCTCCTAGCCTATGAGTACTGTCAGAACATTATAGCTCATGCATATTGTGTAGGCTATAGTGGGGTAGCCCATAAGGGGTACAACCCAATTAGGGTTAGCACTTGTACCCAATTCATTCATAGTTCATTCATTCTCGTTTCTTCTCATGGTATCGAGCAGGTTCCCTCGTGGGAGCTGTTCCTAGGGCCCACCAAGTCGATTTTTTTTTTCCTGCCCGGAGCGCGCTTCGCTTAGGCCCGAGTCGCGCCTCGTGTGCCCTCTCTACCGTCGCGCCCGTCCTAGGCCTCCTTCGGCCCCGTTGCGTCGCCCCTAGCGGCCTCCCTCGCGCCGCCCTTACTCCGCCCGTCGCCACCCTAAGCGAACCGACGCCGCCCTTGCGCCGCCCTCACCCGCGGCCCTGCCACCTACCTGCGGGCGCGCCACCCTACAAGCGGCCCCGCCGCCCTTATCTGCGGCCCCGCCGCCCTTACCTGCGGCCCCGCCACCCTTACCTGCGGCCCCGCCGCCCTTCGCTGCGGCCCCGCCACCTTACCTGCGGCTCCGCCGCCCTTCGCTGCGGCCCCACCACCTTACCTGCGGCCCCGCCGCCCTTCGCTGCGGCCCCGCCACCTTACCTGCGGCCCCGTCGCCTGCTGCTGCGGCCTCGCCACCTTACCTGCGGCCCCGCCGCCCTTACCTGCGGCCCCGCCACCTTACCTGCGGCCCCGCCACCTTACCTGCGGCCCCGCCACCTTACCTACAGCCCCGTCGCCTGCTGCTGCGGCCCCGCCACCTTACCTACGGCCCCACCGCCCTTCGCTGCGGCCCCGCCACCTTACCTGCGGCCCCGCCGCCCTTACCTGCGGCCCCGTCGCCTGCTGCAGCGCCGCCCGCCACCCGAGCTGCCCCAGCCGCCATACCTAGCCGAGCAGCCGACCGCCGCGCCGCCCTGCAACTGAACCGCCGAGCAGCCCAGCCGCCCAGCAGCCGAGCCGCAGAGCCGCCCAGCCGCCGAGCCGCCCAGAAGCCGAGCCGCCCAGAAGCCGAGCCGCCCAGCAGCCGAGCCGCCCAGCAGCCGAGCCGCCCAGCAGCCGAGCCGCCCAGCAGCCGAGCGGCCCAGCAGCCGAGCCGCCCAACAGCCGAGCCGCCCGCGCCGCCGAGCCGCCCGAGCCGCCCTGTCTGGTAAGAGCAGCGCCTCTTTCTCAGCACTGCCCTTACCCTACTGTTTGCGCTACTGGTCTACTGCTGTCATGGCTATCCCTAGTGTCCTCGCTTTTGACGCTGAGGGTCGGGCCATTGACTTTGACGTCTGGATAGATGACCTGCAGCTTTTCTTACAGTGCGATAGGGCAGACGGACTCTCTCTCTTTGACCTCACCTCCGGTGCCTCTCTACCCCTGCTGCTGATGCTGACGCTACTGTTCGCTCACAGTGGGCCACGCGCGATGCTGCTGCACGTCTTGCTGTGCGTCGCCACCTTCCTACCTCTGAGCGTGCGCACTTTAGCCAGTACAAGAGTGCTCAGACCTTGTACGACGCTGTAGTTGCACGCTACTCCTCCCCTGCCATTGCTGCACTGAGCCGCCTCATGCTATCGTACCTCTTCCCTGACCTTGCTGCCTTTCCCACAGTCGCTGACCTCATTACGCACCTCCGCACTAGTGACACTCGCTACCGCGCTGCGCTTCCTGCTGAGTTCTGCGCCAAGAACCCCCCCCCATGTACATCACTCTCTACTACATAGTCACCCGTCTCCCTGACTCCCTTCGCGTAGTCAAGGACCACTTTCTCTCAGTCTGTCCCACCACTCTCACTGTTGACCTCCTCGAGAAGGCCCTCCTAGCAGCGGAGAAGAGCATAGTCGCTGTAGGGGCCTCTCGTGGTGACCCGCGCACCCCCATCTTTGAGGGGTGTTCCCCCTCCCCTCTCTTGCCCTCTGTTGCCTCTGCTGCTGCGGCCGACCTCGTTGGTCTGGAGTCGGTCGGTGCGGCGACTACCCCTAGTGGGAAGCGTCGCTCTGGCAAGGGCAAGGGGGGCACGGGCGCTGGAGGAGCTAGCGGGGGCGGTGGAGGCGGCGGTGGAGGCAGTGGAGGGGGTGGGGGTGGTGGTGGGAGTGGTGGCGGGGGTGGAGGTGTCGGCGGCGGCAGTGGAGGCGGAGGCGGCGGCGGCGGTGGCGGTGGGAGCGGAGGTGGTGGAGGTGGCGGAGGTGGAGGAGGCAGTGGCGGAGGAGGAGGAGGAGGAGGAGGAGGAGGAGGTCGTGGCTCTTCGCAGAGGAGTGGCTCCAGTGGTGGTCACCGCCAGCAGCAGCAGCGCAGTCGGGAGACCCAGTCCCCTCAGCAGCTCCGTGAGTGGTACTCTGCACGCCAGCGGGGTGGGGGTACTGGTCCTTGCACCTACGTCCTGCGCACCGGCGACCGTGCGGGTGAGCAGTGTGGGGGTGCGCACCCCACCCAGCGCTGCTTTGGCCGCCTGACGGACGCTTGGCGTCACCAATTCCCTAAGGCCACTGAGATCCCTCGCAGGGGCGAGCTGTCTAGGGCAGGGGTAGCTATCTTTGACCTTGACTTTGATGATATTCTTGCTGCTATGTATACTGTGTCTATTAGTGAGGAGGGTGGCTGTTACCGGTGTTTCCTGCCCGACCCGGGCATTGCGACTGCTGCTCTAGGTGCTGGTGAGGCTGCTGCTCTTGGTGCTAGTGAGGCTGCTGCTCTAGGTGCTAGTGCGTCTGCTTCCTCCGGTACTGGTGAGTCTGCGCTCTCAGGTACTGCGTCGGCTTCGGCCTCCCACACCTTCACACTTGACTCGGGGGCTTCTCGCTCCTTCTTTCGAGACCGCACCACACTCACGCCGCTTGGTCGGCCAGTTGCAGTCTCCCTGGCAGACCCCTCTGGGGGTCCTGTCCTTGCTCACTTCTCCACTGTCCTCCCGTGTCCGGCGGCCCCCTCTGGCACCCTGTCTGGTCTTTACCTCCCCTCGTTCTCTACGAACTTGGTGAGTGGTGCTAACCTACAGGATGCAGGGGTTCACCAGTTCACTCCTGCGAGTCAGCGGGTGACCCACTGCACGGACGCTCGGATAGGCCGACACCTGGCCACGTTTACACGTCGGCCGGGGTCGAGCCTGTACACACTGACCACTGCGTCTCCTCCAGTCCCTGCGTCTGGTCAGGTAGCTGCGTCGGGTCAGGTGTTAGCTGCAGCGTCCAGGTCTGGTCCTGAGTCTGCCCCCTGCTCGTGTCGCCTCCTGTCTCACGAGACTCTCCTCTAGCACCACCGCCTTGGTCACCCCTCTCTGCTTCGGCTTAGAGGCATGGCCTCTCGTCTTCTTGTTTCTGGTCTCCCCCGGTCCCTCCCTCCCCTTCCTCCAGGGCCTGGCCCTACCTGCGTCCCCTGTGTCGAGGGGCGGTAGCGGGCTACCCCTCACTCCTCCCAGTTTCCTCCGACAGAGGCCCCGCTGCAGACGCTTCACATGGACGTGTGGGGCCCAGCCCGCGTCCGTGGACAGGGTCACGAGCGCTACTTCCTGCCGGTGGTTGACGACTACTCGCGTTACACCACAGTCTTCCCCTTGCGCAGCAAGGGTGATGTCACTGAGGTGTTGATCGACTGGATCCGCGCAGCTCGTCTCCAGCTCAGGCAGAGCTTCGGCTCGGACTTTCCTGTTCTGCGTCTGCATTCTGACAGAGGCGGAGAGTTCTCCTCTAGCCTTCTACGAGCCTACTGTCGTGCACGAGGCATCCGCCAGACCTTCACGCTTCCGGACTCTCCACAACAAAACGGGATTGCTGAGCGCCGCATTGGCATGGTCATGGACGTCGCCCGTACGGGTGAACGGGTTGTAACACGAGACCGGTGACGTTAGGGAGAGATCGGAGCGTGCACTGACTAAGATGGTTGAGGTGGACTTATATTTCTTTCCGCACAAAAAAAAAGCCTATCAACGACTCGCTTTTGCCAACTAGCGCTAGTTTTTGCCTTGGAGCCTCCTAGCCTATGAGTACTACTTGGGTGAGCAAGTAATGTGAGTGGTGAACAGTGCATATGGTTGGCGATCATCGCGTCAGTTCTGGTTTTGGTCAATCGGGTTCCGTTGTCGCAGGACGATTGCATGGGATCGCGAGAGTTTTTTCAAAACAAGTAGGGTAACCCTGTTTTTGGCGACTTCAAGTTCAAGAATCTTGAACTTGAAAATTACCATGCTGTACTTGGGCTTTAAATTGCAACTAGCGTGCAACGGCGATTCACAATGTGCTTGCTTCCTTGGCTGGGCGAGGTTTTCTGTAATGAATATGCAATTCATTACTGTAGAGGCTGCTCCTACCGAGGACAGCCCGAGCACTTCGCGTCAGGATGGCTCGGCCTACACTTTCGCACCGAGCCAATTCCGAGTCGCCCTGCACCGATCGCGACATTTCCAAGCCACGCACACCTAGAGGTTCTCGCCTAGCTAGTTTTCGCCCTATAAATGCTCGCTTTCTTCATTGTTTCATCATTCTGTAATCACGTCTTCTTTATAAAGTCTTCCGCGCACTCTGTCTAGTAAAACTCATAACATTTTCCATTCTCAGTTACTGCCCATGAGTTCTGTTATGAGTTGTATGAAAGAAGAGTGCGCAGAATGCAATATCGCGGAAGTGATTACAACTACTGAGCAAACAACGAGGCCTAGGCATA